AGAGATAGAGAGATAGAGAGATAGAGAGATAGAGAGATAGAGAGATAGCGAGATAGATAGATAGATAGATAGATAGATAGATAGGTAGGTAGGTAGGTAGATAGATAGATAGATAATTTGTGAACAGGCCATCCAAAAAGAAGTACTCAAACTGTGCAGGATCAGCTCGACAAGAATAGAGTACCATGGCCTTCTTCATTCTGAGAACAACCAGCCCTTTTCAACTGTATCTGAATGCTAAGCACCGTCAAGCTTCAAGATTAGGAGTAGCTGCTCACTACCACATTAGAGTCGCTAAGTCTAAGTGCAACCTTTCCCTCACCAAATGTACAGTAATTCTTGACAAGGTTGTCTTGGAGGGGAGCGACAAAAATCATGAACACGATCTCGGCCCTTTTGCTCTGCCGAAATCTCCTGCGGCTATTTGCAATGCCACCCGAGCTTCCGCTGAATAAGTGACCCTCAGCCACTGGGATCTTACAAAGGGTCCCCGGGAAGATCCCGTCAATGCGCACGTCTCCAAACGGACGGGCCCATCTCCTGCATGAACTTCTTACAAAGCTGTCGGGTCTCCGCCGACATCGTGGCGCTGAACATCATCACCTGAGACCGAGATCTGAGACGAGACCGAGGGCGATCAACGATCTGAAGCACATAGACACAGTCAGGTGTTTGCCCAAATTCCACCCTCCACATCGTACCCACCTGTTTCTTCTTGGGAGTTTCCACGAAGATCTGCTGAACGTCCTGCAGCGGATTTGAACAAAAAGTCCCCTCTTCGGTGGCCTCCCAGCTCTAAACAAGAACACAAATTCAAGTCAACTGGCACAACAAAGTGGAGAACTTGACTTGAACTCGAAAGTGACTTCGGCCCGTCCAAAAGCCCACCCAAAACCTTCGTGCAAGCTGTTCCTGCCGTTCTCAGAGAGTGGAACCGGATGTTTCTGAACCAATGCCGGATCCGCTGGATCCACCGTCCTTGCGCATGTCCACCTTGTCCAAGCACTTGTCACCTGAGTCAATTCTTTGAGTCAGAGGGTGCTTGAGTTTGTGCTGGCGGGTCAAGAGGCCAAAAACAGCTGGGATGCCTGGGCCCCAAAGGCCAGGGCAACCATGTAACGTAGTCCACCATGCTTTGGGTCTCTTGCATATTGGCTTGGTCTTCTCAGACTGAACCATTGCAAAGACCATAGCTAGCTCAGAAAGTCTCTCGTTCTTCAGCTAGATGAGCGGAGGGACAAAGTACAAATCACTGCAACGTAGGTTTATGGAGTACGCCACTCAGGTGTGGTTTCTCAGGTCGTTCCCATAGGCCTCAAAGACACTGGACTTCTTGACCATTCTGCATCGGTTCTCCCTTGAAGACCAATGACACAGTGCTGAAGTGGCCGATGACACGGTCCTATGTTCACGTTTCCCAAAAAGGAACTCCACTACACATGCCTCCACACCAAGAGATGGAAACTGAACTCGCTGTGCCGCGCGTTGCCCACCATTCTGTTTGGCATCCGAATTCTCAAACAAAGATAAGCGAGGAAGAAGACCCAGACCGTTCTCATCGCCGCCAAGTGACATTCGTCTAAGACAAATTGCTGGATCTTATCCAATTTCAAGTCCTGAGAACATCGTCCCAGACCAGGGGGGGGGGGTCCCCTACAGTGAAGGGGAACTCCAGAAAGTCTCCCAGGCAGCCCTGCACGGGAAAAACATGGGTGGTGTACGTTTTGTGAATGCAAGGGGATGTTTTTTTTTCATATATACATATATCCCTTGACATTATGAAAAGCTCCATATGAGGGCCCATATTATGATGTATCTATGAAAATATGGCGTGCGTCCAAATGATCAAGTCATGCCATGGCGCTGTTGACATCCAAGTCCACACGTCTTCAGGAGCATCTTGCTCCACACGGTGCGAACGACGTCTAGATCTGGATGTCCAAAAGGTTTCAAAAAAATATCAACCTTTTGGTGTCTCGGTGTCTCTTCCTCCTTCTCAAGGAGTGTCGAGATTCGCTTCAAGAATGCAACCCACACGTCGACAGCCGCTCCTTCTCACGGAGGAGTCCAAGCACCCGCCCGGGTGTGCCAATGAGGATATGCGGGCAGGAGTCCTCACAGCTTCGGCGTGGCCAGGGACTGGGAGAGTGATCTTTTTCGGGAGGCGACATGGCAAGGAAGCCTCTCTAAAGGCATCCAACTTCGGATGACTCCGAAGGCATCTCTCCAAAAAAGGATGCAGTCGTTGGTGAGTGTATGTGAAGCACCACCCCATGTCATTTTGGACTCCTAGCACAAAAAGAGCAGAAAAAAACCTTCAATAATCGGCCAACCTCCCACGGTTGGCCTTGAGTCTCAGGTGGATATGTGTGGATCTGTGGAAGAGGATCGATCAACTTGCATCCTGAAATTGCACACCATTCCCCTGTCTCGCCCTTCGAATCAACTACGCTTCAACGTCATCTCAAGGTGGACTCAACACATTGAGGCTGCTCCTCGAGTTGGGCGGCTTCGGGTCACACGGGCTTCGGGTCACCGTGTCATGACGTTTCGTGTTTCGCATGACACATTGCGTGTCGCGTCCTTCAGCATTTCCTTGTCCTTCGACATGGGCGTTCCACCATAGACCACCGCCGTCTTGATCTCCTAGCCGACAGCCAAACCGCGACGGGTGTCGCACGCCGTAATCTCAACCCAAGACACCCTCGGAGAACACACACCGTGGCGAAGAAACATCAGAATCATAAAAACACCATCTTCTTCTTGGGTATGTTTATATAACTCGGAGCGTTTTGCAGCCCTGGCTTGCACACCGCATGAACATCATGCACTGACCGGATCTGCCTGTCCAAACTGACCAAAGGATTGAATAAAGAGTTGCACATGAACGAGCACCGCTTTCCTCCATCTTCCGACCATCGCCAGAGTTGTTTCATCTGTTGATACCCAAACAGGTTTCCCCAAGATTCCAGACACCAAAATCGAAGTCTTTCTAGGCGCACTCGTTTCAATTGCAACGCTTGCTTCGGTGTGGGAGCTCCAGTCGAGACCGCCAAACCAGGTCGCTCGTCCCCAAGTCGGTCGAGCGACCGGTCGCTTTCTACCGTGCAACATGTGATAGGCGCTCCGGGAAGTATTTGGCAAAGCGCTCGAACTCGTGCTTGATCTGATAGGCCAACTCACCTGACAGGAAATGAGTGTCCCCGGATGGAAGAAGCGAGAGCAGTTTTTTTGTCTTTTCCCAGGTGACTTGGCCCCCCTCCTAATCCTAGGTCCTCATTTCCCAGGTGGAAAAATCATGCCTGAGTCCTAATCCTCCGTCCAATTGTTGTGTTTGTGTGACTCTATCTTTCTCAGATCAAAAATGCCACAGTCCCTGGATTCTAGAAGAACCCTTCACTGAAAGTGGCCATTCTTCTGCTGGAGTGTGCTACAAGGAAAACCGATGCCACACTGGAACATCCGGGTCCCCGGCGCGTGTGGCAAATGACCAGCGTTCGCACTGCCTGGAATAGACAGGGCCATGCTGGACAGAAGCTGCACATCCAGTCAAAGAAGAATTGAATAAAGTCTTTCACTGCCAAAGCACTCCTCAACCAAGCTGCAAGTGATGTAGACTAGACCAAAAATTACCAAAACATTGTTTTCTTTGGCTGCGACAAGGTGTCCAGCTTTCAACTCTTGTGCTGTTGGCATCAGTTGGCGGTGAGCTCAAGAGACCTAAGAACTGAGGAGAATACAGTAAAATACAATAAAGACTTCTCACGTGACTCACGTGTGTTCATGAGAAGTCCACATTTGACTCCGTATTCTGTATGCCGGCCTGTACGCTGGGTACCCAGGGCTCATCCAAAAGCGAAAAAAGATTGATTGGCCTTCAATCGTCGAGCCCAGGCAAGAGCCCACAGTCATCATTTCTTGCAGTGGAGAAACTCTGCGAAGCTCACTGGTGGAGCTTGAAGAACGACGCTGTTCACAGGACCCGCGGCATCCACCCTGAAACCTGGGTGGCCGCCCCACTTGCCCACCCGTCCTCCAAAAGCCCTTCCGCTCTTGGATCGAGATCCACCACTTCTCTTCAAAGCACCCAAGGGCCCCCCAGGCCCTGGCCCGGCCTTTTCAGAGGAATCCACCTGCTGAAGACAGGCCAGCACGAAGACCGCGGTCTTCCCCATTCCGCTCTTGGCCTGGCGAGCGGAGGAAGGCTCAAGTTTCAGTGCTGCAGAATCCGACCAGCTTGATTGCGGCATAGATGTGCAGATCCTTAGAAGTCCAGTTGGACGATATGTTTGACTCATCGAATGACAAGTAAGGAAGTTCCTTTGGGGGGTCACCTACAGACCATTTTTAACCACCGTCGCCTGGACTCCTACGGCTACCCCCAGCCACTTTGCCCCTTTGGAGAAGGACCCAACCACCAACCCCGGCCACCAATCATCCGCCAGATCTATCCATCCCAGCACGGCGCACGGCCGTCGCACGGCCTGGCACAGGACGTCCGTCCCCAAGATGGCCTCCGACGTGGAGAGCGGGTCTGCGGTCGACTCGGTTCATCTCGGGGTGTCCGAGAACTCGGTGCTTGAAACAACCACTTACCCAGCAGTCCAAGGGTGGTTTAGAAACCCCCCTGAAGCAGTATTTTCCATCTAATAACCACCCTTTGCCATTGGGTGGTGCTGGTATATAGACCTTAGATGACCTTAGAACCTAAAGATGGAAGCCAGATGGCTTTTTCTGGCTTCTCGAACCTCACCTCGAACGTCTACACTCTACCAGAGGCTCCAATTCAGTTCGGCCCAAGTGCCAGCCCCACACGTCCAACGGTCCCAGCCGTCTGCCACAACTCCCCACGGTTCAGCCCCACCAGTCCTGCGGGATGCATTCATGCTGCACCTCTGAGGGATGCTCAAAGCCGCAATCCACGATCGCGCGAATCAGCTCCGCCCTCGCGGGAGGACGGCGGCGAAGAAATCGCCGCGGCGAGGGAGGGAGGTGAGGTGAGCAGGGAGGGGTGGATGGAGTCCAACCGGCATGTGACGGTCTATGCAGAGTCTTTGCCTCAAAAAAGAGGTTTAATCAGAACTCCATGCGTGCCACTTCATTTGTCAAAAGAACATCTAGATGTCTGAATCTTGTGAAAATGATTCAGAAGAATCAGCCTTACTTTAAATGCCTTCCTGCACCTCAGCTTTGGGCTTAGACGTCCATCAAACCGCTCGACTTGGAGTGTGCCTGGGGCAATGCGGAGGGATTTTGTTTGGCCCCTTGTCCCTGAGGAGCCCCGCTTGAGCAAGAAGTCCTTGAAGCCAGAGGCATGCAACGCCGCCTGCCCCTTTTTCGCCTTAGCGGATCCACGACAGAAGCAGATCCTGAGTTGACACAACAAAAGAATGGAACACCTGTGGTGAAAGACCAGCAGTTCCATGGAGTTGGGTGCTTCTTGGAGGATAGGAGGATAAGGGTGGCCCTGTCACATCCACTCACAGGACTAAACCCACCCAACTCCCTGCAACTCCTGGGATCCTGGGAGTTGTTGCGTCCACACCAGGTGTGGCCAGCCCAAAACAAGCGGCATCTGCGTGATCTGCCAAAAGGTGTGGCTCCTTCCCGCGCAGTCCAACAGGTGAAGCTCCGTAGAGCTTGACTGGAGTTTCAACACCTCCACTCTGTTCCTGTGCCAGAACCTATTTGGGGGTAGTCAATGTGGCAGTTTCACAGCAATCAAAATCACCTTCTAGCAGTTCACATTCATTCCCAGAATGAAGCAAACCTAATGTCCTTTCAGGATCTCTCAATTTTCCATGAAACGGCACTTCCAACAAGCATGTAGCACCCGATACAGACTCTCTTAACCTGTCAATCCTCGCAAGTGGGCTGTGTCAGGGCTTGGGGAGGGGTAGATTTTTTGCCCAGACGCTCCAAGCAGCCTTGGGTCCCTCTTAAGCTAGAAAAGTTGAGATACCCTGCTGAGTCTAGGAAAGTAGATCTTCATTTTTTGGACTCTTGAGGCATCTTAGGGATCGTTGAGTGTGCTGCTTGGACCAAAAATGTGTGTTGACAATCCACCTCCCAAACTAATTGCGGAGGGAAGCCTAAAACACTCTTTGACATTTCATCATTGATACGTGAAAGAAGAGGTCTGTCACCCGGGATCATCTACTCCAAAGAAAAGGAGCAGGTCCACCTGAGCCTCCGGACCTCAGCATCCTTGGCCTCGTCACCCTTGGGTTCCTAGAAGAAAAGAAATTCGCAGAATGCATCTGAATGCATCTGGTTGAAGAGAAATACCCTGAGAATTCCCACCCAGTGTTTCTTACATAACACATTCTTTGTACTTCTTTGCATCAGTGCTTTCAAGGAGTCACGCAATAAAATTGAGTGCAAGCTGCACCAGGTGAAGAAGAAACACGTATCTGACTGAGTCGTGCTTGGGCAGCAAGGGTGATGAAGCTGAGCGAAGCTCAAAGTGTAAAGTCTCACAAAGAATGCAAAGGCTTTTGCAACGGTGTGAGACAAGGCAAAGAATACCTAGGTGCAGCAGAAGACCATTTGCAACGGAGTGTCCTGAGTCATCGCTACTAGGCAAAAGGACGCTACTAGTAGCTCCTGGTCTTACTACTAGTAACAAGAAGCTAGAAGCTACTATATTATATATATATGTCTATTTATACTACTTGTCAAACAGCCTGTCCCTCTTCACCATGTCTGCAGAAGCAGAGGGAGCCACCTCACCTGCTCACCACCTCGTCCAAAAAGCCAAGTGATTCACTCCCAAGTTCTTCACGGATCCTACCCCCGGAATAGACTCCGACACGCCCAAACAAACACAGACTTTGCTCGCTTGGCCGTATGTGGATGGCATCTCTTGGCCCCCGGTACCAGTTTCCTCAAGTCTGTCTCTTCCATTTCAGCATTTGTTTCGTTTTTTCGGCCCAAGGGGGGTAGTTCCACCTGGAATCCGTGCGTCAGAACTGCTGGGTTTTGGCTCCTCGTCCTCGAAGTCGGGCAGATCTTCCCCCTGTCATGGGCGGAAGCCGCGAGAACACCCATATATATATATATATACATATGTACTTGAGGCCAAGGGGGGGGGGCGAAAGCTAGCGCACCAGAATGGGAAAGTGGAGGGCAGCGAGGTAGGAAAAAATACGGCGCTCTTTTTGGAGGCAGTCGCACGGAGTAGCAGAAGGCAGGACGCCTTGCACAAGTTGGGCGGGGCAAACGATTCCAGGTGAAGAGTCCTTTATATGTGGCTCTTTGCCCGGATCCTCCTGCGAGAGAAGAGAGAGAAGAGAGACGGAAAGACGAGAGACAGAGAGGAGAGAGAGAGAGAGAGAGGAGAGAGAGATGAGAGAGAGATAAGAAAGAGATGAGGGAGAGATGAGAGAGATGAGAGAGAGATGAGAGAGAGATGAGAGAGAGATGAGAGAGAGTGAGAGTGAGAGAGAGTGAGAGTGAGAGTGAGAGTGAGAGTGAGAGTGAGCGAGTGCGGCCGCAAGATACGCAACGCTAACCGCATGCCAAAGAGCGACGACAGGACGGAGTCGAACTTGCGAAGAGGGAGGAGGGAGGGAGGGAGGGAGGGAGGGAGGGA